AAATTCTCATTTGTGCCATTTTCGTGATTTGATGCAAAAAGTTTATTCTCTAAAGTGGAAATCTTCTGTCCTGAAATGAGCTTTGAAGCCATGTCGTGGTTGTGTTTGTTAACATCGTAGTCATCAATTTCACGGGAAAAGTTGTTTTGAAGAACATCCTCAAGTTGAGCAAGCTCAAAGTTGATCCAATTTAGAAACCCCCTTTCCATGGGGGTTTCGTCCCTATAAGTGGCGCATTCCTCTTCTGCGTTTTGTGCAGCAGAAAACAAAGTAGACGAAAAAGACTCCAAATACGAATGCGTAGGTGGAATCTTTCTCTTGGACATTGAAATGTTAAATTAAAATTTAATCGTCAAATTTAAAGTGCTTTGGCTTGATGCTGGGATCGATCTCTTTGTAGTGAGAACCATAATCTTTATGTTCTCTTTTTTTGGTAGCGGTACCAAAAGCCAGTAGTTCCTGGGGTACGTCCTGCCCAGAGTTTCTAAGAACACCAATAAGCTCGCCCGAGTGGTTCTTATCCAATGGGGAGAATATTGTATGCGCAACACCAGAGCGACCGGCCCTGCCAGTTCTACCGATTCTATGAACATAATCCTCAATTGTCAGCGGAAATGTATAATTAATAACAGTCTCAACAAAGGGAATATCTAAACCTCTAGATGCAACATCTGTAGCAAGAAGAATCAAACTTTTTCCATCTTTAAAGGTGGCTAGCGCAGAGGCTCGAGCAGATTGAGCCTTGTCCCCATGAATTGTACTGACCTTGTATCCCTTTTTCAGTAGCACTTGTTCTATTCTATCTGCCTCCTTTTTATATAGGACAAATAAGATGATCTTTCCACTCGAGTATTTGGAGAGTAATGAAAAAAGAATTTTTTCTTTTTCTTGATGATCGTCGACAACGGTAACTATTTGCTTTATGGTAGACCCTCCTTTTAACGAAGAGGGGGAAAATTGTGAATTATCGGTGGAAGTTAAAAGCTCTGATCTAGAGGTAACGGAGATGCGAACAGATGGACCCTTTATCAGGGAATCTGCCAGCCTCTTTATGGTCGAAGGCCAAGTGGCAGAGAACATCAGAGTTTGCCGAGAAAGGGTGGAATCCATCGCATTTACGATCCTCTTAACGTCTGGAGCAAATCCCATGTCAAGCATCCGATCTGCCTCATCAAGTACAAAATAAGAGACCGTAAACAAAGATAGTTCGTCCTCAGATAGGTAATCCAATAAGCGACCTGGTGTTGCAATCAGAATCTGCGGCTTTGTGGATAGGAGATGGGCTAATTGGGACGAACGATCGACACCACCGTAAATTACTGTCGACTTGATGGGCTTCTCAAGGAAGCCTGTGGCCTTTTCGATAGTCTCTCCAATCTGGATGGCCAATTCTCGTGTCGGTGCCAAAATAAGCACATCAGGGGAATACTTCCCATTTGGCACGTTTTTTTTGGTCCCTGACAAGTGAATCACCTTCGCAATTGCAGGGATGCCAAATGCGATTGTCTTTCCAGAGCCAGTTTCGGCAATACCAACTATAGATTTGGAAAAGGTGAGAGCATATGGCCAAGTTTGGCTCTGAATAGCAGAGGGGATATCCTCAAACCCATCGCAAATCTTTAAAAGCCCCTTTGGAAGAACAGCAGAAGAGTCGGAGAACCGGATAACCGGTTTGAATATTTCTGCGCTTTGTCCGTTGGAATCGCCAGTATCGACGGAAATATTCTTTTCTTTTCTGAAAATAATAGCCTCTTCCTCAGATATTTTGGATAAATTCTGAAGTAGCTCCAAATACTGGACAGAAGTTGCATGTGGAGGCGAAGGGACTGAGGTGCCGGTCTTCTTTACTTTGGTCTTTGCCATGTAAAATGAAAACAAGTAAAAAATTTAATTAAAAACTCGCAATAGATCCGAGATTTAATTTGCTGGATTATCCTCCACCCAAATATTTAATATGCTTGCCTCAATCGGAGAGCGAAGATAACCCCGAATGCTCAGAAAATGACCATTCATCACTATATCTGGTAATACCATGCTCAGGGACATCTGGGTCCAGTAGTTTCAGTATGGATTCGTGCTGCAGTTTAAAAGGGTCTACTACATCATATTTTAAAATGGAGGCAGATCGAGAACAGGCCGTTCCAAATCCAGAAAGATCATTGGTCGGTATGGAGTCAGAAACCTTTTTAATAGAAATCAAGCAAGAGGCACTTTTTCTTGCTATGATTGGTGAGCTATTCAGGTCGATCCTTCCCACAATTGGTGGGATAACACTTTTTTCGCTGCTTTCTTCTTTTTTAGCTTTGAGACACTTTGATGGGGAAATTGTATTTGAATGGGAGCCTCTAGTAAATATCCCGATTCTATTTCTCAGCATTCGAAGTGGGTGTTCGTTTTCAACCACAATGACGCTTTCGTTTTGCCATTGTGGAATGACTCGTTTTTTTGTGCGTACCCTCATGTTGTGTAAAAATTTGGCGTCTCCTTTGAATGTGTGTGTGTGTGTGTGTGTATAGAAATCCTCATCTGGTCGGTCAGTGCTGTAATTTGAAGGGTTTAAAGGCCATTAAAAATGTCCTGATTGATGTCTACGCTTTGCAGACTGCAAATTTTAAAATACCTTCAATTTAGCCAGCAAGATTGCAAGGTGTTTATTAATATCGGGCCATTAGCAATTTTGGACATGAATTGGGGTCGCCTACGTGCATCTCTCTCTTTGAGACGGTTTTATTCCAAGTTTACTATTGTTGATCACTCTTATGATGCTGTTGTCGTTGGTGCTGGCGGTGCTGGACTTAGAGCCGCATTTGGACTTGCCCAGGCTGGGTTTAACGTCGCCTGCGTTTCAAAACTCTTTCCAACCCGTTCACACACCGTTGCTGCACAGGGAGGCGTCAATGCCGCGCTTGGAAACATGGGCCCGGATGATTGGCGTTGGCATATGTACGATACTGTGAAAGGCTCCGATTGGCTTGGAGATCAAGACGCCATCCATTACATGTGTAAAGAAGCGCCTCGTACCGTTATCGAGCTCGAGCATTATGGCGTTCCGTTTTCGAGGACACCTTCCGGGACAATATATCAACGCGCTTTTGGGGGGCAGTCTTTGAACTATGGAAAGGGCGGTCAGGCCTACCGCTGTGCTGCCGTTGCTGACCGCACTGGGCATTCAATTCTTCATACGCTTTATGGCCAAGCTCTTCGTCATAAGACAAAATTTTTTGTCGAGTACTTTGTCCTTGACTTAATTATGGACGAAGATGGCTCATGTCGTGGTGTCATTGCCCTAAGCATGGAGGATGGCACCATTCACCGCTTTTTCTCCTCTTCTGTTGTTTTGGCAACCGGAGGATATGGGAGGGCCTATTTCTCTTGTACTTCCGCCCACACGTGTACTGGAGATGGAACCGCAATGGTTTCCAGAGCTGGGCTACCGCTGCAAGATTTGGAGTTTGTTCAGTTTCACCCGACAGGCATATATGGTTCAGGATGTCTTATCACTGAGGGGTGCAGAGGGGAAGGTGGATTCCTTTTGAATGCAAACGGTGAACCTTTCATGGCTAGATATGCGCCTACAGCCAAGGACCTTGCATCGCGAGATATCGTTTCTCGAGCCATGACTATTGAGATTGCGGAAGGCCGAGGAGTGGGTCCTGAAAAAGATCACATCCTGCTCCAACTGTCCCATCTTCCTAGCGAAGTTCTAAAGGAGCGACTTCCTGGAATTTCTGAAACGGCAGCCATATTTGCTGGTGTTGATGTCACCAAGGAGCCCATTCCCGTGTTGCCAACTGTCCATTACAACATGGGCGGAATTCCGACGCGCTACACTGGGCAAGTTCTTACAGCGGATAAGTCTACCGGTATTGCCTTCTAATCCTATCAAATAGGAAAGGAAACGTTAGTTTCAGGTCTATATGCTGCCGGAGAGGCTGCGTGTGTCTCTGTGCATGGGGCTAATAGACTGGGAGCCAACTCATTATTGGATATTGTGGTCTTTGGCCGTGCCTGTGCTCAACATATCCAAGAGACAACGAAACCTGGAGGTAAATCTGGAGGTAGAGTGGGTGTATATACTTTTCTTTAGCATCAGTAAAGGTCGCTTCGGTCGATGATCCTTCGTCAAGCACATTCAAGACCTTGCAGAATTTAGAGAATCTGCTTTCCTCGAAGGGCGATCTTTCGACAGCCCAAATTCGGCTTGCTATGCAAAAAACTATGCAAAAATATGCTGCGGTGTTCAGAACACAAGAAACCCTTGACCAAGGTTCAAAGGAAATCCTTGAAGTTGCACAGCAGTTGAAACGACTCAAAATCTCGGACACTTCTTTGATTTGGTATTTTTCCACTTCTTTTATCTAGGAACTCTGAATTGATCGAGATGCTTGAGCTACAAAATTTGATGACCAATGCAGTGCAGACAATGTTTGCTGCGCGTGAGAGAAAAGAGTCTAGAGGCGCCCATGCAAGAGAAGACTACAAAGAACGCGATGACGAGCGATTCCTCAAACATACGCTCACATGGCACGACGCAAGTCTCAGCGACGACAAGGCTGTGACCGTCAAGTACAGAGATGTTGTCCAAACTACATTGGACGAGGCCGAGTGCAAGAGCATTCCGCTCGCCAAGCGCGTCTACTAACCATTGAGGGAGCCCAATGCCAAGCTCAATCTGCTGCCATAAACCCATCATTTTATACCTCAAACATTTTATTTTCACGTACTGTAGCACATGATCATTTAAACTCCCATGCTCCTCAACCCTTTAACATTTTGGAATAACATGAGCACTTTCGGCTCACATGCGGTGCGGATGTCGCACCGGGGCCTCTAAAATCCTAATCAAGCCTTGGCTATGGGTTCTTTACAAATATTGTGATTTACTGGTTTGCTTTTTGATGGCGATGTCAGAATGGGTGGCCGTTAGCGCAAGGATCAGATTGTGTTCATTTGCTAGATGAAGGAGCGAAATGAAGCAATAAGGAAAAGAGAGCTCCGCCTTCTTTTTCTCGCCACCCATTGCTTGCGCATCGATGGCAGAAATAACGCTACTGAGCCGTATTTCATCCTCTGATGAAAATGAGTTTGAAAGGCTGGTCCACATGGTCGATTTGAGGCGATGCATATTTACCCGCTTGGATACTTTGCAATAGGAGATTGAATCGACCCGGAGGAACTTTGGAGAGCCCATTGGCCCCCAATCCTTACTCAAAGAGGAGGATGAGGGAATGGAAGGGAAATCTTCCCCAAGAGAGAGCTGCGAAAATGGCTGCGAAAAGAGAGACTCATCAGAGGCATCTCTAGCTCCTAAAAGACGATGATCATCACCATCATGATCATTGTCATCGCCGTTAATGTCGTCACCATGGTTCTCATGGCCGTGGTCAAAAGGCTCAAAAGGTATGTCATCGTCTGGTTGTGAAAAGTCATCAGAAATGGCATGTGTTCGTTGATTGGTCTCGACCATTGCCTCAAGCCCTTTTTCTACTAGAAACTTGGCCCCTTGCGTATGCAGAAGCTTTTCAGCGGTCTCTTCGATTGGCTCCTCTGAGGCTTTATATGCTCCACTAGATGGTCGCTTTATGTTATCGGCAAACCACCAATTAGGCTTGCAAAACATTGAAAAGAGATCTTTTGATGAAATATTTAAATCTTCTGGCAACATGTTACGAGTCCTGTTCTTTTCGGATAGTAAAATTTCAGGAGTCAATGTGATGTGATGCTGTGAATCAAATTTGACAAATAAACTCTTGATATCGACCTCAGGAGCAGTGCAAAAGTCGATCAGATGGGTCTTGATGGTCACTTTTTGTCTAATCTTTTTACCGGACGTAACCGAATGGTCCTTTCGCATCAAGCGAAGTTTCCAATGTTCTGGACCCGCCCAGTTCTTATGAGCCATCCCATCGAAATAAGCAAATAGATTGGATCTAGAGCTACATACATCGACAGAATTGGTTGCTTCATTTGCCTCCAGAATGGCAGATGGGTTAGCAAGAAAAGAGGTACTACTAAACGAATTTTGAACCATTTGGGCAAGAGTGGGCGAAGGATCTTGATACGCATCTTCATGCATATGCTCAACATTCCCACAATTCTCATCGTCATCATCATTTCCGAATCTTTGTTCGCTTGGAAAATGATAGCCATCTTCCTCTCCTGTTTCGTCGAGAGTCAAGGGATAATCTGGGATTTGAAGGTGTTCTACCTTTGAAGAAACTCCATCCTCAAAGCTAGAGTCAATGTGCATTGTATCGTAATCGACGGCAGAAGAAAGCTTTAATTGTTCCAAAATTTCTGCAATCACGTCCTCGCCAAAATCGAAAGGCTCCGCAGATTTTACATCAAGAAATTCTTTCTGAAACCCTTCAAAAGAAGGCGATATAGTACAAGGAATCTGGGTAAATGATTTCAAAAAAGACCCTATCCCAGCTAGTAATCCTTCATCAAAAGCTTTGTTAGGTTCTTGGCCATCTCCCTCAATGATGTGATCTCTTTGCTGCGTATTGAACTCGATATTTCCATCATGTTCCATTTGGTCTTGAGACATAAAAAAGATTCCGCTCGGGTCTAGCATGTAAGATCCAGATTGATCAATGGAAAGTCTATTGAACAAAAGACCTTTATATCCGCCTTCATCAAACTCGGCCGAGATTTTTTTAAATAGCGGATCTAACGAAGTATCAAGGTCAAAGGATTTGACATTTATCGACTCGAACGTCTTTGCAAGTGTTTCAGAAGATTTTCCCAGCTAATTCCAGAGTTAGGCGGCTGAAAACAAACCTTTTTCTTATGCTTATTGGGAACCTTTTCATTCAACTTGTTTGAAGGCCTGTTTTCTGTATCACTTTCATCATCGTCAGAATTCCTCAAGTTGATGTCTAAATTTGAGAAAAGGTAGGAAACTAACCCTCGTTCTCAATGGAATTTAATCCAGCAGACGTGGTGAGCCCAGAAAGCAATTTGCCCGTGTCTACCACCACCGATTCAACCCTGGAGGAATATATCTTTACACATCCGTCTAAGGTAGATGATGCTTTTTGGAAGTTTATATCATCATTATTGTCCTTCAGTAGAGTCATATCGCTCAAGCAATCAATTAAGGGCAGATTCCAACTATTTTTGGAATTGATTTTCTATGTCATAAAGTTTCAAGTGAAAAAGTACATTTGCAGTTGCGGCCTTTAGCCACTGTTCAAAAGAAGCCTGTTTTTGCTCCTTGGTTAACTTTGAAGTTGCACACAGTATGCTTGATGGAGAGCCAAAAACTCCATCCAATAGAGCATCCTTGGCATTGTTTGTGCCGGGAGACAACAGGTACTTGGCGTTCAATGCAACGGAAGGAGAATTTGGAGACCCTATGGTTGCAGATTTCAGTGCGTTGATGTCTATTCGAGTCCTTTTGGCCTTGGGAGAACCCAGTACGGGGCTGAAAATCGTGGGCGGAGCGTCATGAATATTCCTTTCCTTTTGTTTAAGGATCCTCTTTCCGGATGTCGGTTTTAAGGGTGTCAAGGCTGCAAGATCAGAATCTGCTGCCTTATTCCGTTTTTTATTTGAGGAGCCCTTCGATGGAGGCATGTTGGTAAAACGGGCTATAAATTATTTAAAGCTACAATTCAAAATTTAGATGGAAAATTTAAATTGCTAGCTCAACACACAATTTGCCAAATTGGCAGACAAGCAAATTCACACCGCTTTGTACAGCAATCCTTTGGATGGCGAAAATATTTATTAAGGGTTGATAAAAATTTTCATAGCTGGCAAGTGAAAATTGAAGGATCGCTAAAGTTGATCTATTGAAATGGTTATCCCGTAAAAAGAGGGACAAACCGAAACTGGGATTAATAGGTACATCGGGCCAAAATGTTTCTAACGAGAAAAAAAGAGATGGCTTACCAATGGATCAACCGCATAGGTATCAAAAATATGAGTAAAAAGCAAGGTTCTACAACAATACTCGAAGGAGTAAAGGAATATGGTTAGCCCAAGACCGAGAAACATGAACAGCCAAAAGATAGCATTAAGTCTGCGATCGTACGTGGCTTTTTGGAAAAAAGCACAGAGGACAACACCAGGGCCGCTAAATAATATGAATAATACGGGATAAAAAAATCCCAACGAAAAAGAAATGATAAATTCATGAACAACAGCCGAAATATTAAAGACCAGGAGGGCTGAAATTCCTTTGGCCAGCGATGGATCGACAATAGATGACTCCCTGAAATACCGAATAAAATCGCCATACAAGTACGTGTATAAAAAGTCGTGCACAATACAGTTCCATTTTCGATAGAACTGAGAAAAGGAACACGAATTCCACCAGTCCTCATAAAAAGAGCGATCCTCAAAAGAAAGAATATCTGCCCAAAAGTTCATCCAGGCCTCAAAAAAAAAGAAAAAGCACAGAAGAAAGATCGGCGTGCCCAGGCAACAAAATAGACCAAGAGATTTCTTTAAAAATTCAAAGTCATTAAATAGAGGAGTATTTGACCAAAAGGAGCCTTTCGCATCGGCAATCGTTAGATTCGCAAAATATGGGCCAATGACCTGGTGGAAAATGAATAGCAAAAGATACACGGAAACGCAAAACTTGAAAACATGACAGGCCGAATCGTACAAAAATCTAAATAAGCCCCCTTTTTTGTCGTTAGCGACTCTTAAATAGAAGCTTTGGTAAATCAAAACAGGTGCAAAATAAAAATACAAAAGCTTTGAAGCGGAAAATGGATTTTCCACCGAAATTCGCCGGGAAAACATCTTTTGTCCAAATTTGGATCCAACAATGGTTCTGAAGACAGAATAAAGCTTAAGATTTAATCTTATTTGCTCAAGCAATATCAGAATGCGATCACAAATCGAAGCCGTATTAAATAAGCAGGCAGAAACTGACAATACCAGTAGCATCATATGCAGAATTGCATGCAGGAAATATATCCAACGTAAGTTGCAATTAATGTCTATCACCAGAACCCTCAAAAGATAAGCAGAGCCTATGGAAACGAGAAAGAGTAAAGCACACGAAGGAATAACTGCTCCAAATAGGGAATGCGGAAAAGTTGGATATTCTATTTTCGCCGAAGAGGGCCCATTTAGAAGATATAGACTAAAAAATGCCATCAAGCTGAGCATGAGAATGTTATGGATCGATTTTACATCCGAAGATTTCGCCCACGAGCTAATGGTAAGCAAAAAACTCGTACCTTAAAATGGACGGTCGTTTGTAAAATTCCTTGTATCTAATATGTTCGATATCTCTTTTTGCCTTTAATCTTGATTGACAGAGAACCATTACCTGTTGATAAGTGTAACCGATGTGTGGAACCGGTGTACAATTTTGGCAAATTAGCGATTAATTTTCAAGTTTAGCAATTTATCAAATTTTAATTAAATGCCAATGAAGCCCAGGCTGGTTGTTATTTGTTCCCCATAAATGCCTGTACCAATGGGGGCATTCTTTCCCGCTAATTAATAACCGGAATTCATCAATTCGTTTTCAAAGCAAATGTCTTTTGTTTACGATTATTGTAAGCATTCTTTCCTAACCAACATATAGCAATTTCCGATATTTTAGAACAGCAGTTTTCGCTTGATGCTTCAACAGATGATAATACGTTTGGTACCTCGTTCGAGAATGAGGCCACTAGTTTCCACCGTGACTGCGAAGAGCAGAACCTTTCGTTATTGAGATCCGCGCCTCATTTCCCTGAGCAGGGCTCTGCAGAGGGAAGAAATATCTTTAAGAGACCAGTTGCTGGCACAACTGCAAGCCTTCAAGAAAATACAGGCAATACACTGCCATATCTTGCTTTACATTTGGAAAAATACAACCAACAAGCTATTGACACCTTGGTTCTTTCAAACGCAACCGAGCTTGATCTGAGCATTGAAAACAGTATACCCCAAACACCCACCGCCTTTAAATCAGACTACAAAGAGTTATCCTTGTTGATTGCAACCGAGGAACTTAAAAGCGTTGTCCCGTCGACAAAAATGTTTTCCAAACTATGTAGACAGCGTGTCTTACAAGAAGGTACCATTTTGATTTCCAATTTAATTTTTTAGCGTCCAAATACATCCGAATCCAACTGAAGACCTTTATGTTCCTAATGAATTATCTAAGGGCAAAGTAAAGAGTAAAATAAAATTAATTTTATTTATTGAACAATTAAATGGTATCGAGAAATTAGATAGGGAACACTTGCGATTAGCGGACCAAAGCGGTTGGCGTTTTCATACAGCTCAAAAAATGGAATTGCCACAAGAGTCATGCCCAAGGGAATGGAAAACAACTCTAGCAAAAGGGTTAAAAAAGGCTACTAACGTGATTCTGGCAGGTGAACAAGATACAGCCTTTTTTCTTCTTTTGGAATGGTTATGTGGGGAAGTGGATAAGGATACTAGAGTGAGAAAATGTCCCCTACAAATTTATTCTCAAACCCTGGTCGATACCACACAGAAAGACAATCGGAAATGTTCCATGTGGTAAATTTTGATGAAGATTGAGGTGCTAATTGATCGGAAAGTATTCTAGACAGCCCTTCAGACTGATCCTCGCCTAACAACAACCTCCCACCCGGTCTACAAATAAGATTCGTCATTCTTACAAGGCAAAGTTATTTCCTTTTTGCAAGAGCAAAACGTGAGGGTGTGTATATTGATGGATAATGAGCATGGCCTCTACCGATTGCACCATGCCTAAAAAAAGCGCATAAATAAACCTTTTGACAAAAAAGCCTCCATAAGACAGGATTTGCTAACAGAAGAAAAGGGATCCCAAGGAATGCCATCTTTCTTCCCGAAAGAATAATTGTTAAGAGGAAATATCGATAGTGAGCATGAAACGTTAAATTCCGAAGGCGCAAGTGTTGGGAAATCAAACAATTGAATTTCATCAGTGGAAACCTCATGGCTAGGAGAATGGGACATAAAAAGTATTTATTTATTATTTGGAATTTCAGTTTTTCGAAATTCAATCAGATGAATAAATAGCTGCAGGAAGTTTGAAGTCTGTTTTTGTGTCCTCGTCGAGATTGAACTAAAATATCCATTAATCAAAGGAATAAATATACCAAGTCGGGCTTATTTAGCTCATTTAAATGGTCAAAATAGTATAAACTGGAAAGATAGGTCCAAATTGCAGCTGCGCTGGGACAATGCGATTCTAATGTGAAATGTCCTTTGCCAAATAAAACGGCCATGTCAAAGTGCTTACTAACACCCACAAATCGGGCATCACATAGTTTGCGTAGGAGAAATATTTCATACTCTTCCTCAAACATTAATTTTGTAAAAAACGACACCTGCAGGATTTGAACCTACGCGGGCGAAGCCCATATGATTTCTAGCCATACTCCTTAACCACTCGGACAAGGTGTCACAGCTTTATCAGTGAATAAGATTTTTATAAATATTTAAAAAGCTATTTTATTTCACAACGAATAAGAGCATCCTGCACTTCTGCCATTAAATCTCTTGGACCGTTGGTTTATTGTTTATATAAACTCTCGCTTCAATTTTAACCGTGAATATGCCAAGATGTCTCGCTTGATTAATTTATATTTCTAAGGGTAGCTTCGCAATGTTTTGCTTTGGCACAAGGGGCTGGGACTGGCCTATATGGCTTGATATCCGTCTATATGAACTAATAGGCACGCTAAATTTGAAATTTTATTTGAGGTTAGAGGGAGGCTATACGGTAGGCGACTCCATCTTGCATAGAGAAGGGGTCTAGAAGATAAAAAGCATAGGCCAAGATATTTCTCAACGATTTGGGTTGATATATGCCCAACAAACCCTACTTCATTAATGTATGCGCGTCTTCACACGGCCGCAGTTAAAAGAAAATGCTTTGGAAGGCCAAAATATGGGGTTAAATTCAATCTCATCTGATATTCATTGCATGGAACATTCAAAATGATGGTTGTGAAAGAGAGCATAATTCCTGCTTTAATAGAAGACTGAAGCTCTTTATGTTCTTTGAAATATAGAGCATGAGGGAGGCGAGCCATATGGGCTTTATATAATCTTCTCCTATTTTAGTAGGGCAGAAATTCGGACTGTTTTACAAGTTTGACAGGAATGCAATTGAAAATCCTGGAGCCGTGAATGGGGCTGATATTAGTGTGAGATATGTACAAATAAGTATCCACCGTGTATTCTTGGAAAATAGAACATCATATTGTTGTATTATCAAAGATGCTAATAAGAAGCTCCATTTCAACGAATGGATCACAGCAAGGGCATTTCACGGCAGACACGCGGGCTTTGACTGCATTCTTTGATTAAACTTGATCCGTCATAACCGGCTCTGATCCCGCATTTAATTAATTTTTTTGGCTTCATCCATCGATGAGAAATATTAATAGAGCCAGTATTTCTCTGAACAAAATTAGGTGTCAGCCCCGATCGTCATGATACCCGCCATGTACTAAATATTTATAGATTAATTTATCGGGTCGGGTTAGAGATAACTCGTCGGTCCTTTCACTTAACTGGGGTGGAATTTTTTTTAGAACCACTGAATTTAGCTGTAAAAGTTGTGCGAACTAGCCGCGTCTAAATTCTTAGCTTAGCATCGTCATTGGTGGAAAATGATTTATAAAATGCCAGCAATTTTTTCCAACTTACTCACCCCAATGGAAATCCAAATTTCTTTCTTATAGTTTTATTATCTTTTTGCTCGTTCCTTAGTCGATGGAAACATAGTCTTTGGGGGTTTAGCCGAAGCCAAACCCCTTCCGGGTATAAGCCAAGACCGATGCCCCGAATACCAACCTCTAGCTCTGAAAATGCACAAAGAAGCTTCCTCACTAGATAAACATGCCCCACAAGCTAAATAGCTTCATGTTCAAACTAAATAAAAACAGTGATGGCAGTTTAAAATTAATTCTATCCTGCCAAATAGGTATCCTTAAGCAATAGGGTCCATATTCCGAATTTTAAATAAACTCATATCCATAGGCTTTAGAGCGGTTCACTTGAGCTCGGATCAATTGCCATAGATTCGTTGATTGGAAAATACCTCTATTTATGCATCAGATGGTATTCAAGGTTATCTCTTTAAGTCGCCGAGAGAATTGTTTCGTATTGTCCAGTTAAGGAGGTTGATGGTCTTAAAAAGGGATAGCATAAGCAACCTTATGATTAGGTTAGCACTCAAACTGAGCATTGCGATTCAGTATTTTTCTCACTGAAGGGTTAATTTCCCCCTATTCTTCTGGCCCCGTTATCTTTTTTCGACTGCCTTTTCTTTGGGATCTGAATTTGAATTGCAAAAATAGTGGCCTCTATTATTATTGATCATGCCCACCGAGACGCAGATATTCGAAAATTCTGCCATTGGCAAATTGTACTAAAAACTCATCCACATATCCCGATTGGCTTATACAGCGTTGAATACTTAATAGCTGCTTACTACTTTGCTTGAAAAGCTATTAGCTGTGTAAAGGCAGCAATTTGAATGTTTATGTGGTTATTACTTTTTTTTCGGACGGAGAATCGCATCGGTGGATATCGCCTGAGTAACTCCGAAAACGCTGTAGAAGATCAATCTAACCCGATTGGAACTTCAAGGGATGAGCAATCTTTTTTGAGAAGACAATTTCTCATAAAAGGTTAATGTCTTTCTTGACTCCGGCCAGTTTTCATCTTATCCAGAAAATGTACTTCTCTGACTGAGATTTATACCACAGGAAGGGCATTTGAGGTAAAGGCCTATGGTTGGCGCATACTCACTACGTGAAATCTTTATCTGAGCTTTTGGCATTTTATCATCAGCCTGCTTGAAAGCTTGGAGATGAAATTAATCCTTTTAACTAGTGGTGTTTCTTATGCAATTGCCTCAATTTTACCATCCGCCCCAATTTATTTGGTTCAAAATTCAAAATTTCTTTGTAAAGCGGTATTAAATCTGTTTCCATAGTGCTCTTAACCTTAATTTGAAATTAATTTAACCAAGCAGATGCATACCCCGACTGGTATCCAGTGTAAGCACCATGTAATACATCGATAAATGACTTTCTAAATTTTTAAAAAGGTTCAATTTTCTTAAATCTTGCTGCACAAGTTCGGGTTAGGTGTGCGTTTAAAGACTAAGGGTATGGGCGGGTTCTTACTTTGAGATCAGGGTTATGCTTTTTTGCCTTTAAGGGTTAGCGGAAAGCTATAATAGAATTCGAGCCACTTTAGGTTTTAAGCGCCAATAAAACTTCAATTTCAATTTCAACTTCAACTTCCACGCCGTGATGTTCGATCTTTCATCTGCTCTTCTTTCCCTCCAAAATGCTACATCTTCTTCTGAATCGATTGATATTCATGAGACACTTGAAGGTATTGACTTACATACCTCTAACTTTAGCCTTTGAGGATTTGATTATTGAGAATTCATGTGGCCTTCACAAAAATAGAGATTTATTTGCAAAGCTGGTCAAGGCTTTAAAGTAAGCCACCATGCCCTTAAAAATAGAGAAATTAAATCTCTCAGTTCGGATTATCAATATAGAATGTTTGACTTGATACTAAGTGGGTTTCGACGGCAAATTCGAGATTTGAATTCAAAGCTCGATTCCGAATCTGTTCCTATTGTGGACGTTAAGTCAACATTAGAATGCTGTATATTTCTTTTATATGGAGCTCTTT